ACAAATGCGCTTTACACAATTGATGTGTGTATGGAGTGGGATAACAGTTGTATGAGCCCCTAATAAAATGTTAAAAAAAAAAAAAGAGTTGTATGAGCCCCTAATAAAAGGATTAAAAAACCGAAAAAGAAAGCTCTGCCTTTCTCCCATGGAGCAGCTGGTAGTTTTGAACTGCTGAACTTGAAGTTAGCAGCCCAACGCATAAAGTTAATATAAAAGAAAAGGGGAAAAAAGAAAAGAAAAGAAAACATCTCGGACATGGTGTGGCTGTTCTCACAAGGCTAGGAATAAATGTCAGCCTGGGGTCACTCACAACATTAATCGTCCAAGCTCTCTCCTTGGTCCTAAGCTGTCTTTTGAATGCCCACTCTAATAAAATCTTTCGTGAGTAAAAAAAAACCACCCAGACTTTTAGATTCTGTTATGCTTCCGATGGAGTTCTCACAGAGCTTTGGAATTCCTGTCTCTCAGTAATGTAATCTGAACCAGAATCTCCTAAGCTTTGTTTGGGTGGCACCAAAATGAGTTGAACATTTGTGGGTTCTTTTTTAAATACTGCCATGGTGGGATGTTTTGGTATTGTGTCGACCTGGGCTTAACCCTGTTTGCCATTTACCTTCTCAGCACATGCAGAGGGAGTCTTGTAAAGCTCTGTAGACACATGTTTGCAGGAAGAGGAAGTGGGTACTACTTGGCAAGGGCTGAATGTCTTTTAATTAGTCTTATAATTCATTTAAAGCTTTATTTGTAATTCTATTCATGAGGTTCAGTATAAACTGGAATACGAAAGGTTATAATGTTAGAACATAAGGAGATCTTAATGATCATTGAGTGCAAGTCTCATGTTTGATAAATGAGGGAAAGGCGACTGGAGAGAAAAGTGGCTTGTCCCAGCACACATAGCAAGTAGCTAAGTGAAATCAAAGCTAAGAATCCCTCCCTGTCTTCTAATTCTCAGTCTAGTACTCATCCCATTATGCCACTAACTATGCTCTGTCGGGATGATAGGAAATCAAGTCTAGAAATAGAAGTGTCTAATTTGCCATTTATTGGAAAAAATAATTTGCTGGGGGATAATAAAAAATCCTGCTGCCACCAAGTCAGTTCCAACTCTTGGTGACCCTATAGGAGAGTAGCATTGCACCAGAGGGTTTCCGAGACGGTAAACCTTTACAGGAGTAGACAGGAGCAAGTAGACTTGCTTCCTGAGAGGGACTGGTGCATTTAGACTGCTGATCTTGCAGCTAACGACCCCACGCTTAACCCACTGCACCACCTGAGTGCCTCTCTGGAGAGAAACCTTGTCAGGTGCTGTTGTCGGTTCCAGCTCACAGCAGTCCTTCGTACTCCAGGGCGAAACACTGTCCCATCCTGCACCATCCTAATTGCTGTCATGACGGATCCCATCGTAGCCGCTGTGTCAATCCATCTCATCATGGTTTTCCTTTCTTTGCTGCCCTGCTACTTTATTTATGCTAATCGTTTGGGCTATCATCAACTCAAAAATGCTCAGGAATGATACCAGCATTTGTATTTGATATTTGGTAGAAATTCTTTTGGGTGAAATTGCTGCTTTTTTGGTCAAAATTTAAAAGCATACAAGAAAGAGCTAATTAGCTACCTAAAGAAAACAATGTACGTTTTCCATAACTAAAATAGTTTTCCTCTGTCACTGATATTTGAAATCTTTTCTTTCTTCATCAGTCTTTACTTCAAAAGAAGAAGCCAACGTTTTCATACATCGGCGCCTCCTCTATAATAGATTTGACTTGGAACTCCTCACGCCTGGTAACCTTGAGAGAGAGTGCAACGAAGAACTCTGTAATTATGAGGAGGCCAGGGAGGTCTTTGTGGACGAAGATAAAACGGTAACTTGTTGGCTAATATTAACTGGCTGGGAAATTATCAAATTGTGCTTAAAGTCACACTTTTAGCCATACTTTTATGTTTTCCACAAAATCTGAGCTGGCTACTGCTTATCTCTATCTACTCTCTTAAAATAGTTATTAATCTAATTAGACCTAGTTTTATATCTAATTAGCTGAGTGTACAACATAGAGCGAATTGAACTTCAAATAATATTTGTATTAGCCCTCTTACTTAGGCAGTGCTGTTGTTGTTAGCTGCCATCTAATCGAGCCAGACTCATAATGACCCCGTACATGTGCAGAGTAGAACTGCTCTTGAGGGCTTTCCAGGCAGCAACCTTTGGAAACAGATTGCCAGGCCTTTCTCCTGAGATACCTCTGGGTGGGTTGAAACCACTCACCTGCAAGTTAGTGTGTTAGTCCGGGTAGACTAGAGATACAAGTTCATAGACACTCATATGTGTATAAGAAAGAGCTTTACATACAAGAGCAATTGAATATTGAGAAAACATCCCATCCCAGTCCAGATTCAGTCCATACGTCCAATATTATCCCATATGTCCGATACCAATCTATAAAGCCCTCTTCAGACTCACGAAACACATGCAATGATGCCGAATGCAGCATCTCAGCGCTGACAGAGGTCTCCATGTGACTTCTCCAGCTCAGGGCACTAGCGCAGTTCCATGTGTCTTGTCAGTAAACGGTATCCCAGGGAGTGAGCAGAGAGAAAAGTGTCTCCCGCCTCCAAGAAGGAAAAATAGGAGTTCCCAAAATTCTCAGGAGAAGGCCATGCCCACACAGAGGCCTCATTGGTTGTATCTTGATTGACAGGCCAGACTCAACCCCTCCAACCATAATCCTCTCAAATTGACACCAGATTATGTAACTACCACAGTTAGTAGTCGAACACTTAACTGGGTGGCACCCAGAAACTCCCAAGGCAAGTTTAAGTTTCATTTATTCAAGACTTAGAATATTACTCCTCTTGGAAAAATCATAAAATGTATCCGGAGGTAGAAATGGCCTTAACTTAAAAAAAAAGTATTTATTTGTACTGCAAGTATTTATTGACAACCTCCTACGTGTAAGGCACTCTTCCAGACAGTGAGAATCCAAATACAGAGCCCTTGACTTTCAGTAACTTACCCTTTAGTAATTCACTTAAAGTGTAATTGAATCATATTTGTTTATTCTGTTGTTTAAAAAAAAGCCAGCTGTGCCCAATATATTCTTGAAAAATGTTAATTAACCCCAAATTTTACTTTGTACAATAAGTATCCTCCAGCTCTTTTTCCTCTTCCTTAAAAGTCCCATTTTATTCTTTGGTCACTAAGCCCTCTCTAGGTACCTATATTATGGAATCTAATTCTTCATCCTTCCATAGAAAATCGCATTCAAATGTTTGCCATATCCAGGAGCCCTGGAGGCATTGTTTGAATGTTAGATTACTAACTTGCAAGGTCAGCAGTTCAAACCCAGCAGCCACTCTGAGAGAGAAAGACAAAGCTATTCTCTCCTGTAAAGATTTCTAAAAGCCCTGGAAACCCTTATAGGGCTACTGTGAGTTGTAATTGAGTTGATGACAGTGGGTTCTTAAAGAGGGGAAACAGCAAACTTTGTAATTGGGATGCTTGAGATTTTATTCTGTTTTCCCCAAAATCCATGATCTAATTTTATTACGATTCCTTAAAGTCATCTTTTTCTCTCTCAAGTCACACTGAATTTAGAGCTACCTCAGGAACGTTTTCCCAAATAATAAATGACTTTCAATTAAATCTGGCAAACTGAGGGTTAACCTATTATAAAAAAAACTTGGGAAGCACAAGAGTGGGCCCAGAGTCTCAACTTACATCTTTGGTGCTTTCACCAACCCTCTCGAATGCAGTATTTCCCATTCCTCCAAGTGGGTTATTCTCAGGACAAGTCTAACTCTTTATAAATAGTATAATCTAGCTTGTTGTTTAGGGAAAAAGTTACCTGGAGGCAAAACTGATGCCTGCGTGGGAGCTCTGGGCAGGTGAAGGAAAATAACCCCCTGCTGTGCAGCCAATCCCTCTGGCTCCCAGCCACCCTGGAGGACAGAGGAGAACTGCCCCCTGAGGTTTCCAAAGCCGTGACCGTCACTGAAGCACCTTGGTACATCTTACTCCCACAGAGTTTCCGGAGGTTTCTAAGCCCTAACCTTTTGGTTGACAGCTGAGTGCTTTACCCATTGCACCATGAAGGCTCCTTGAGGGGAGAAGGGTAAGATCTAATAACAGAGAGTTGGGACTGGCAAAGACATCAGTGGGTGGGAGTGCTGTAATTAGAATAAGTCGCACCCTTCAGCTTGAGTAAATGAAGATCCTACTCCTGGCACATGCCAAGAGTTTTGGTCAGTGAGATCAAATGAAATAATAATGAAGAAATTAAATAGACTTGGGAATAATGTCACCTTTTTTCACAGATGAAGTTTTGGCAGGAGTATACCATTCAAGGACCATCACCAAAATCTGGTAAGACACGGATTTACCCAATGTAATGTTTTTTCTCGCCCTCTGTTGGTTTACATTTTCATCTGCTTGTTTGAGTTTGGTCGTTGCTCAACATACCTACCTTGTGAATCCCAGGAGGACTTCTTAATTATGCACTGGGCCATCTAAGAGAAAGCTGCATTCATCTATTCACACACTGAAAATCAAGTTTGGTGAGGTACTGGGAAATGAGATAATTGGTTGAAAGCTGTTATAACAACTCAGCTAAGTCAAGACTTGCACAGAATAAAATTGCTGATTCCATTAGTGTCAAGCACTAAAGTATTTTTTTTTTCACTCTTTGTTTCCCGTTTTTACCATTATAAGTGAATAAGGTGTTTCAGAGAGCTGGATAGAATTAAGAAACTTCTAGAGAAGGACTATCCTTTATCTTATCTGTATTGATCTCTTTTCCCCCTCTGGTCATCTTCATCATCTGTGTTATTCTCTCTCTTTTCGTTTATAAAAAGCATTTTATTGGGTGCTCTAACAGCTCTTACAACAATCCATACATCAATTGTATAAGCACATTTGTTCATATGTTGCCATCATCATTTTCAAAACACTTTCTTTCAACTTGAGCCCTTGGTATCAGCTCCTCTTTTCCCCCCATCCTTCCCCACCCTCCCACCCTCATGAGCCCTTGATAAATTATACATTTTTATTTCCATATCTTACACCATCTGCTGTCTCCCTTCACCCATGTTCCTGTTGTTTGTCCTCCTAAGGGAGGAGTGTTATACATGGATCTATGCGATCAGTTCCCCTTTCTCCCTACACCTTCCCGCTACCCTCATGGTACCTCTACTCCCATTACTGCACCCGAGGGGGGTTTCTGTCCTGGACCCCGAGTGTCGAGAGCTCTTATCTGTACCCATGGACACGCTCTGGTCTAGCCATATTTGCACTGCGGTCATGATAGTAGGGGGAGGAAGCAAAGAACTAGAGAAATGTTGTGTTTCATCAGTGCTATACTGCACCCTGGCTGACTCGTCCCTTCCTTGTGACACTTTTGTGAGGGGATAACTGTCTACAGATGGGCTTTGGGTCTCCACTCCGACCCCTCTCATTCGCATTGATATGATTGTTTGTTTTGGGTCTTCTGATATCTGATACTTGATCCCATAGACACCTCATGATCACACAGGGCTGGTGTGCTTCTCCCATGTGGGTTTTGTTGCTTCCATGCTAGATGGCCACTTGTTTAACTTCAAACCTTTAAGACCCTAGACACTATATCTTGTAATAGCCAAACATTTGCTTATGCACGCATTTTGTCTTCAGCAATCATGCTGAGAAGGTGAGCATCACAGAATGCCAGGTTATTAGAACAAAGAGTTCTTGCATTGAGGGAGGACTTGAGAAGAGGCCCAATATCTTTTGGCTACCTTAATATTTAACATATAAATATATGTACATAGACCTATATCCCAATTATTATATATTTATGTATTTACATATATACATGCCTATATTTATACCACTAAAATGATATTTTGTCTCTTAGTTCCTTCCTCTATTTCCTTTTCCTTTCTTCCTGTCCCACTATTATATTCGACCTTCATTCAGCTCTTCTTAATTCCTCTCAGCTACATTGCACTTGATCAAACCCCACCAAGCATTCTATGCCCGCCTTGCCATTGATTTTAGATATCTTGTTGTTCCCTTGTCCCTGGGTTTGTTAGCTTCCCCCTCCCTTTCCGCCACCTCTCCTTCTCTCATGTCTCCCCCAGAACCATTGGTCCGATTGTTTTCTCCATGGAATTGTAAACAATTCTGTCTATTTTATATAGATAGATATGGGGGGAAAAAACCAAAAACCTATAAATAGTTCCAGGTCTGTCTGCTGACCCTTATGCATGTTTTCTGATTGGTTCTAAAGAGATGCCAAGCCCTGCTCCCCCTCCCGGCCCAACACCCCAATTCAGAAGTGTATTTTTGGGACTCCTTGGGGACTTGGTTGCTTTCTCCCCTTGCTGTGTATTGATCATTTTTGGCTGCTTTTAATAAGATTTTTCCCCAACTATTCTTTTATACCCCTTAGGTAGGGTCCCAGCTAGATGGGAGACTATATTATATAGTTACACCAGAGTTGCTAACAGGTTTATCTGAATAATATCAAATGTGTCCAGGCAAACAATAAATAAATAACAATCCCACTGAGTGTTGGATAGTATTCATTTAATATGACCTATATAAACTAAATTAAAGAATTAAGTACCATAACTAAGAACTTTTGGAAGTGTTGTTTTAAAATCCCTCAGATAGTTTCTCTAGCACAAAGAGTTTTTAAAAAAAACAAGCATTAATTATAACATGCTTACATCCTAAGCTGTTTTGACCCAGTGTTAAATGTATTGAAATCTCATGTGGTGCTGTTCAGTTGTTATAATTAATGTTATTTTAATAATTTCTTTTAAGAGGATCACGGAGAAAAAGTGGATGCTTTCGGCCTTTTGATTGGATTGATCGCTGCTGGAGTATTTTTTATTATTTCTGGACTGCTTTGTTACTATATTTGTATCCCTAAATGTCGGAGACAACAATCTTCCAGGTAAGTACCGAACAAAACTATTTAAGTCACTATTATATATTGCGTATTACTATTTTTAGAGGGATAAAGCAAATGACTATTTTTAAAATTTTGTACTTAGGAATAAATCCAGAATTATAGGAGAGTTGAAAAGATAAGAGAGTGTCTGCATACCACCTCCTTCTAGCTTCCCCCAACATTAACATATGATACTCTAAAAATAAAAAATATAAAAGGCCACTGGCATCGAGTCAAGTCTGAGTCAGAGCAACCCCATGTGGGGTTTCCAAGGCCATGAATCTTAGCAGGAGCAGATCAAGATGAAACCAACTCCACTGCCATTGAGCCCATGTCGATTTACAGCAACCCTATATAGGGGTTCCCAGGCTGTAAATCTCAACAACATTATCATTCTCCCAAGAAGCTGCTGGTGGGTTTGAACCACCAACCTTGAGCTTAGCTGTCCAGCACTTACCCAGCAGCACTAATTACCATCGTGTGTTTATCAGAACTAAGAAACCAACATCAGTAAGCAGTGTATTGCTATTACCTAAATTCCAGACTTTGTTCAGGTTTCAACAGTTTTTCTGTTGCTGCCCTCTTTCTGCTCCAGGATCCAATTCAAGGTACCATATTGCACTTGTCATGTCTCTCCAGCCTTCTCTGGACTGTAATAATGCCTCCGTTTTTTGGTGGCTTTAAGTGAAAGAGATAATGATGATATTTCTGGGGTCCAAAATACCAAATACCAAAATACGGGGAATGCAGAATATTTTACATGTGTCAGCTTGTGTTTTAAATAGTTTCTGCTGAAGTAGGAAGCAAGGATTCTGCTTACGAAGCAACGGTTGGTGGCTTTCTACTCCACGAAGCAGTTATAGTCTCAGAACCCCCGAGGGTAGTTCTTCTCCATCCTATATGGTTACTAAGAGTCAGAATTGAGTCGATGGTCGTGAATTTAGGTTTTAATATATATCCTTATTCCCTTTTCAACACCTCTTTACCTGGTTTTAGATCTCTTGTTGTTCCCTTATCCCTGAGTATGTTGGCTTTTCTCTCCCTCCTCACCCCTTCCTCTCCCTTGTCCCCCAGGGACTGCTGGTCCTGTTGTTTTATCCTTGGGATTGTTTGTCCTACCTATCTTATATAAATAGACATAGGGTGAAAAAAACCCAAAAAACAAAAACCTGATAGATAGTTCCAAGTTTGTCTGCTGACCCTTATGAGTGTTTTCCAATTGGATCTGATCAGGTGTCAAGCCCTCTCCCCCAAATCAGAGTTTATTTTCAGGATTCCTTGGGGGACTTTGTTACTTTGCTCACCTTGCTGCCCTTTTGCACTCCCTTTGAGTTTCACTCCACTGTGAGTGGGGCAGCGGGCAGACTTTCTGTACAGCATCTCTAGTGCTATCTCCCTAGCTCTATGGGTCAGTGAGGAAATGTCACATGGTTTGGCTGGCCCTATGGGCCTCTCTCTGCATAGGCTGCACCAAGCAGGGATGTTTTCCCCAGGGCTTGGTGGGCCATGATGAGGTTCTCTGTCTCTCTGTCTCTCTCTTTCCCTCTTAGTTTGCACCTGTGTGGTTTGGACAGACCTGCCATGCTCCCTGGGCCAAATCTTCAGTGCTGTCCTCTGTATTACATTCTACTGGGGAGGGGGCTCAACATAGCTTGGCTTGCAATTTTTTTCATGTATACACTATAAAATATACACATATATTTTATGACTTTAGAAATTGCTGTTCTTTTTTTTTGAATGGCTGTTCTGTGTTCTTCTTTGCAACTTTGACTTTCACACTTAACAATATGTCTTAGATATATTTTCAGTGTAATATTTGTAAATCATTAAGAGAGTCAATTTTTATTGCAGTATTTCATTTGCATATGCTAAAGTAGTTTTTACTCCAAAATGTAACAGATTGATTCCTTTCTAAAATACATTAGCTTTTGCACAATATCTATTTGTGGAACAAGAACAAGGGATACTATCCCTGTCCCAGACATAGCCACAGTATAGTGGTTGACTATGTAAATTCTGGGACCAGACAGTTGTTATTAAACCGAAAACCAAACTGACTTCCATTGAGATAATGCTGATTTCTAGTGACCATAAAGGACAAGGTAGAGCTGCCCCTGTGAATTTCCAAGACTGTAACTCTCTCTGGGTCTAGAAAGCCCCAGTTTCTCCCTTGGTGTGGCTGGTGGTTTCAAACGGCTGACCTTGTAGTTAGCAGCCCAATAAGTAAGCACTGCACCAATTGGTTCAGGCTCCAAGCAAACTTATATACAATAGGATGAAAAACTACCTGGTCCACCCAGCCAGACTGTCTAGGGTTCAAGTTCTTGGTAATGGTAACAAGCTGTTTAACTCTGGTCATGCTACTTAAATATAAACTCTACCTCAGTTTCCCCATAAGCAAATTTGTAATAATAATAATGGAACTACTCCATTATGTAATTCCAGTTAACTTTCTAGGAAGACATGAATTTCAGAGAAAAATTAATGGTGGCAGTGTACCCAAGAAGGTAGAATGACAGGCACAAGTTGAATACTTTCAACTTATCCATGTACAAAAGGATAAGCAAAATAATCTTAATCAGGAACTTAAGAACTCTGATGAAGAGTAGCAAGTACCTGGAGGAAATGATGGAATGAGTACCAGCCATGTTGTTGTTGTTGTTGTTGTTGTTAGGTGCCATTGAGTTGTTCCTGACTCATAGCAACCCTGTGTAAAGTGGAACAAAATACTGTGTGGTCCTAGATCATCCTCCCAATTGTTGTGTCCGAGCCCATCACTGCAGCCACTGTGTCGACCAGCGCACTGCAGGTCTATCTCTTTCTCACAGACTGTCTGCCAAGTACAGTGTGCTTCCCTAGGTATACGGAGCTTATATTTGAGTTGCCAGATAAATTAAGACCACTTAATTTCCCTTATTTAACAGACAAGGAAAAATCAAGGTTTATCCATTTTCTAGGACTTTTGAGTAAGATTTTATTTAATGTAGTTTCCTCCACAGAAGGAGCCCTAGTAGTATCGTGGTTAAGTACTTGACTGTTAACCAAAAGGTTGACAGTTTGAACCTGCTAGCCATTCCGTAGGAAAAATATGTGGCAATCTGCGTCTGTAAAGAATCAGAATTCGACGGGACAGCAGGGGATTCTGTTTTTCTGGTTTCTTTCACAAGCTGGGGTAGCCTTGGAAACTCACAGGTATGAAGAAATGAAGAAATGGGCAAAAATCACCTCTAGAGCCTCGGCTTGCCTTTTGCTCTCTTTTTGCCCCATTTTAAAAACCTTGTTCATAGTGCTGTTTTTCAAAAATGTCAAGTCTGATCTCATGTTTACCCATGTCGTTTGGGGTCTATTCTATGACAGCACAATTAGTACTCAATGTACAATGCCTGGCATCTTTTTTCCATGTTTTTCTTCCCCTTTACTACAGCACCACTGCCTCCCTGCTTCATGTCCCTGATACAGTCCCACCTTTCTGTCTTTTCTTTTCTTTCTTTCTTCTTCCGAGAAGAACCCAAAGACAGAACAAGTAGTGCTGTGATCATGCATGGCTTCTATGCATGTTCCTGTGAAATAAGGAATCCCGGACAGCTCTCAGGTTAAAAGCAAGATTATACATGATGTTTGTACCATAGAATGCTGGATGGTTTAAATCATTTTTATACCTGCTGTCTCCCTTGGATTCTCACAGCAAGCCCCTTGAATGTTAGGATCTGGCAATTCCTATTTCAAACCCAGCTTAGTAGACATCCCCTTATATTTGGTTTAACTATTACATACTTACTAAAATACTCGTCAACTAATGTCCCAAGAAATTCTTCCACAGAGTTATTTGTTCCCTTTCTCTATTATTTTTTAAAATCTGGAAGTGGCAGAAGGTCAAGGGGGTGTTTGAGAAAGAAAGAAGGGGAAAAATCAGGCCATTGTGAGAAAAGTCTTTGCCTCATTCCTCTGAAAAAAACTTGCCAAGAAATGGAAAACAAGATCTTTTCATTGCTTAGTTCTTCTATTTTGTGGAGAAAATAGGCATAATATGTGGTCAGTTTGTTTGAGATGTAATTAGTGCATATTTTGCATTTCAATCATTCAAGATGCATGAAAAAGAAGTGTGGATATTTAATAACTTAGCTATAAACATTACTTCTACATATTTAAATATTAAAGATAATTTGAAAAAATATATTTCCTCAGGTTAAAATGTCTCTCTCTTCTGTTATTAGAAGCAAACAAGTGAAACTTTTAGTCACAAGCAAATGAATGTGACAAGTGACTTGCCTACCATGAGTGCATTCCAGATTTCTGACAGGGAAGGACTTCTGTTGAGCCTTCAAAATAAACTTGTTATTCTCTCAGTCACCTCTCAACTATTGAGGCTTGATTGTCCAGTTCCTAGATTTACACGGACCTTTTGCTTTTCTTCTCTCTGCAATTTTCTCTCCACCCTTCCAGGTTCAGATCTCATTGTTTCTTCCAAATGAAAAGTTGTTTTAAACTGCAAATTGACTAATTTCATTTTAGTGACTTTTAGTAAGTGTTGCACTGATAACCTCAAGGTTGTCAGTTCAAACCCACCAATTGCTCTTCAGGAGAAAACCGGGACGACTTACAGTCTCAGAAATTCCTAAGGAGCAGTTACACTTGCTGATAGGGCTGCTGGGAAGCAGAATTAATGCAGTAGTCATGAGATGGTTAGTTTGTTTTTAAGTCCTTTTATTTATTTTTATTTTTTATCATTTTATTGGGGACTCTTACAGCTCTTATCACAATCCATACATCCATCCATTGTGTCAAACACATTTATACATTTGTTGTCATCATCATTCTCAAAACATTTTCTTTCTACTTGAGTCCTTGGTATCAGCTCCTCATTTTTTTCCTCCCTCCCCCACCCTACCTCCCTCACAAACCCTTGATAATTTATAAATTATTATTTTTTCATGTCTTACACTGTCCAATATCTCCCTTCACCCACTTTTCTGTTGTCCGTTCCCCAGGGAGGGTAGTATATGTAGATCATTGGGATCAGTTCCCCCTTTCTCCCCAACCTTCCCCTTCCCCTCCTGGTATTGCTACTCTCATTATTGGTCTCAAGGGGTTTATCTGTTATTGATTCCCTGTGTTTCCAGTTCCTATCTGTACCAGTGTGCATGCTCTGGTCTAGCCAGATTTCTAAGGTAGATCATGATACTGTG